TTGGACCCCCGCCCCCGGCTCGGGGCGATCCCGGGTCGTTTTCATGCGAGCGGCCTTTTGTTCCAGGTGAAGTGGGAGCCCCTGGGCTCCCCGGCCCTCAGGACGGGCCCCGGGGACACGCTCGCTTCTCCCTTTCTTAATCCGCGCAGTGGAGGTTACTTCAGGGAGGAGGAAGGACACCTGCTTTCCAGGCGCTAGATAATATTGCCAGGTTGTAATTCTCCTAAGGCTGCACGCCAGAGAGTTTCAGGGCTGTATTATCTGGGGTCAGTGTAAGCATCTCAGCCTGCTCTAGACGGGGCTGGCAGCTACCTGTGCTCCCTCCCCCCAACACTGCAGCTTGCAAGTCTGCCATGCAGCCCCCATGCCCAGAGCCTGCCCCCTCCCTGCTTCGTACCCTGCCGCTGAATCTGCAGGCGCATCAGGTCTCTGCCACTGGCCGTCTTGTGTCAGCTGCAGTGCAATGTAGGGCTAGGACAGACAACCAGCTGACAGAGGCTGTAGTGGGAGTCAGCAGCCGCCAGGCTTTCATGCATCTCTGGTTCCTCACTGAAGGGGACCAGTAAATCCAACAGAGACTCCCATGCTTTCTGTATGTACAGCTACTCCTCACTTAATGTCCCAGTTATGTTCTTGAAAAATGTGATTTTAAGCAAAATGATGTTAAGCGAATCCAACTACATCACAGCAGTTACCTACTAGCAGGCAGCGGCCAAACAATGTTATAACCGAACATTGCACGACCTTTAAATGAGTGTGTTCTCTAATAGATCAGTGATGTAATAATGAAACAATGTTATCCCGAATGATGGTAAGTGAGAAGTACCTGTCAGGAGATTTCCTTCACTTGGGAAAGGTCTGTCAGCAAAACCACGTAGTATAGGTAGGCCAAAGGTTATACGTCCACACTTCAAGCTGCTTTGTGATTACAAAATTCTGTCTTTCTGCTAGCTGACCAAAAATGATTTCTGTTGCTGCCTGGCAGCAGGTATGTGTAGACATGCCTACAGCTTCTGCCAGCTTCTATGGTTCCTTCAGCAGTTGGTGCCTCCCATATACTTCACACCTGGCCAGCACAACAGCTGTAGTAGAGCCACCAGAAGCACATCACTGCAAAATTTTTGTAGCAGCTTCCTTCTGACAGCTGCTATTAGCAGAATTTATGGCACAGACACAACCTAGTGCAGACAAGATATAAGAGTTCTGGTAGAAAGATGGAATCTAAACTCACCAAAGAGCTTTGGGTGCAGAAACACTCAATGTTTTGCTGGTAGAATATGGTAGTAAGGATGAGAGAACGTAGATACATAGAACTAACAGACTGGCGCATGTTTTGTCTGACCACTGGGGAGAAGTCCAAAGTGTGTTTGAACTGGGTTTAAACTTGTGTAGTAAACTATTTATACACTATTATAGAGCAAGGATTCTTAATCTGGAGGGCCTATATGTGCAGCAGCTATTAAGAACATTACGTGTGTTTTGTGATCAGGAGAGGGAGCCTACTAAGGAGATGGTGTGAAGTAATATATGGTATGATCTGTATTACATGGCTTTGCTGCTCCATGAATATTCAATGCTCTGGTTGAGTAGGCACAGTGTACAGGATAGTCATTGTAGGAGGGCACCTTGTTTGTTTGAAAAGGGGAGGAGTAATGGACCCTATGGACATGTGAAACAGGGCTTTGTATTTTGGGGTCTGGAGTACCTGTGATTATCTGAAAGGGTATGGTGACATTAATAGTATTTGAATTGGTGAGATCTTTCCATAGCAGTTGTTAGAGGTGCAGCCCCCAAAGTCTAGAGCTAAAGAACAGACAAGGGATTTGATGCACCCATGATTAGGCAGGGAATATAACTCCTATTGTTTAAATAGGAGTTTTAAATAGCAGGGATTGTTTCAAGGCAAAGTGTTAATTTGAATAATTCACAGGTACTTAATGTGGGACATTGAGTTTAGTTGTCTGTAAGGTCTGGATTTGATGCACCTCAAAATGCTCTAATGCAATCAAACTTGTGTTTGTTAGTGTTTAGCCTGAGTGTTCCAGCCACTTTTAAAAGAGAAGCCACACAATTGTAGCATAGTTTGGTTTCTACTCATAGCCTATCACCCCATGTTGAGAGAGGGGTGGAAAAAGGATCCTGCTCTTCAAGTAAATATTTTATCATTAAGTAAAAAGAGTAGTGACCCCATTCTTCTGTGTTATATTGATTGCTACAGAGCTATTTATTTGGTTCATAGTGCACTGTTCTTTTCAGGACAATTTCAGAGGACCTGCCTTTTATCTTAATGCTTCTGTTTTGAATGTGGGCCATAAAACTTTAGAGTGATACTTTCAAAAGCACTTTGTTTTGGCCTTGTTATTTTTCCTTACTGTATCGTCTAGTATGAGCTGAGAAGAGACCCATAAGGAATGAAAGCTCCAAGAGGGGAGGATGTTGCTGTGTGAGTGGCAGAGGAGAAAGAGAATCATTTTTGAAGGAAAAGCCAGTTTACCAACCATTGAGGGGAGAGAAGAGTATCTACATCAAGGATGTGAAACCAAAGCAGCTGTGGATGAGTGGTGCTGGGCTGGTCTGCAGGCCTGATTGGGCCCATGGACATGCACACACACACACCTTGACCCTCTTTCCCCTTCCCTAGCATACCTGATTTGGCTGCCACTCTAGGTCCCTTACAGTGGCTGGGTCCGGAGCTTGGGCGCCTAAGCATCCCTGTTTGGCCTGCCACTCTAGGTCCCTTACAGTGGCTGTTCCAGGATCTGGGCCGCACAGCATGGATGCCATGTGTAGCAGTTTGGTGGGAGCAGTGGCCACCCCAGCTGGACTGCACTACAAGCAGTACCGCACTACAAGTAGTACCTGCCCTAATTGTGCTGTACATGACACCTGCTCCAGCTAGTCCAGAAGCCACACTGCACATGGCACCTGTGAGCGTTGTGTGCAATGTGGGTCCTGGACCAGCTAGAACAAGCACCACATATGCAGCACATATCCCAGAGCAAGTGCCACGTGGCACAGTCTAGCTGGGGCAGCCATTGTGTGGAGTGCTGCTCCTGCTACTGAACTGTGCTGCATGCAGCACCTGTTCTCACTGCTCAGGATCTGTGCTGCTTGTAATGGGGGATCCTAGACCAGCAGTTATATTGTGTATGCTGGGGGAGGCAAAAGGTCTGTGGGCTAGATCCAGCCTGTGGACTACCTCAGTGTCATCAGTACATGCTATACCCTGCAGTGGTGGGCTTAGGGCTGTTGGGGCCCTCGGCAAGAGTGTCAGTTGGGGCCCCTTAGAGGCATGTACTCAGGTAACTATTGACCCACCACAGTTGTATCATAGATCTTTTAAAAATTCTTTGGGGGAGTTAGATAAATAGTTGTGTTAAAATGCAAATAGAGCTTTCCTTGCAAAAACTCCCAAAAAAAAATTTGGGCCCCCTAAAGTGTGGGGCCCCAGGCAGTCACCTGGTTTGCCCTCCCTTAAGACCACTACTGTACCCTGCATGGGTCTCATCAGACCCAGGGTCACCAAGGAGCTGGATGGCAGGGCTCCCAAGGCTGGATCTAACCCACAGGCCATATATTTGACACCCCTGACCTACATACTCATAGATTATGGAGTTGGAAGGGACCCAATGGATCATTGTGTCCAACCCCCTGCCCCTGGCAGGAAAGAGGATTGAGGTCAGGTGAACCCAGCCAGGTGATTGTCAAGCCTCCTCGTGAAGACCTCCAAGTTAGGTGACAGCACCACCTCTCTTGGAAGCCCATTCCAGACTATGGCCACCCTTACTGTAAAAAATGTCTTCCCAATGTCTAACCTAAATCTACTCTCCACTAGTTTGCACCCCTTATTAAAACATATTAGTTATTCACACACTATGGTGATGAACAAGCTATAGATTTATAGCCATTACCTGTTAAGAAAAATGGCAAAGTCAAGCATTGAAAAGTTATGACATACAACATTTATTCAGCTCCCTAGTGCAGGGGCCAGCAACTTTTTTCATGCTGTGGGCCAAAACAACCCATCCTCAGTCTGGCACTGGTCAGATGGCTTCACTGGTATGTCAGTAGCAGGGAAGCTTTTCCTGTGTCCCTACTAGAGTCACACAGCTGGGAGCTGTGCCCATGCCACCACTGTTTCTCACAGCTCCCAGCTGAAGGGTAGTTGAGTTAGGGCTGGGCAGATAGAAGCTGCTTCTGTTTCTCCTCATCCCCATCCTTCTCCCCCCGCACAGCCCTGCTCTCAGCACAGTTCCACTCTGGCTGGAAGGTACACTTGCACTGCAACCTTGAGAAAGGGGCATGGCCAGCAGGGAGGGGTGAGGATAGGACAAGCAGTAGTGACATGAGCACTGTTTCAAGCACTGCGGCCCTGGGGCAGCTCCTTGCTGCTCAGTTCCAGTACAGACATGGGCACAGGCAAAGCCTGAGATTCAGCAGGCTGGATTCAGTGGTTCCATAGGCTGTACATTGCTGACCCCTGCCCTACCACACATGCATGTGACCATTTACTATTTTTCTTGTCAAGACTCCCATCTCATTTAGTGCACAAGATAGAGAAGGCTCTGTTAAAAGAGCAGCTGTTTGAAATTACATTTTCTTCTTGCTCAGTGCACGGCTACATGCCTTGCTTACAGTGTTATTCAAAGGACAGACTCATTAATTTCCCTGTGGGTTTTTCTGTAGTGTTCATCGTTATAAGATTAGGTA